GCTTCGTGGTGTTATTTTTTTGGTTCAATTATTTATTTCTAATATCTTTTTGTTATCTTTTTGTAGGGTTGACTCTGAAAGAGAAGTTGTATTCACATTACATGTTAAAAGCGTCATTTACTGGATCGCTCATAACCAATTGTCAGGTAGGTTCATTCAGTAAATGTTCAACTTTCTCATTGGAGATCCTGAATGATACTGTTGTTGTTTACCTGATTTATGAGCATGAAAAGTTTAATTTACTGCCTTTATTCAAACTCGTGGGCACAAATACAGTTCAGAGAAAGATTTCGAAAAGCGAAACAAAGAGTGACGGCGAACTATTAAAATAACATTTAAGGTGGAGGAAGAGAGAGCTGAAGAATTATGGTAAGGGCATGTCTTCTCTAAAATTAGCTTACTTTTTTCAGACTTCTCCGGAATCTCCTGCTTTGTTTGTCATCTTATACAAATTCTTCAAAACAGAGCTGGCGGCAGACCCTTCGCTTGAACTGACAAGAAGAAGAGCCATCGATGAATTTGGCTGGTCCGAAGAAGATTATAGGTCTTTTTTGGCATATGCAGCTGCTTTTTTTGCTAATGGCGGAAATTATAAAAGTTTTGGGGATACAAAAATTGTACCGCAGCTGGAAGAGGTAAGTCCATGTAGCCTACGAAAAGTGTAGGCAGTATTTGGTTCTTCTAGCACTTTTGATTATGTCAGAGTTAAAAATCTTGATAGTTTCAGGTAAAGTTTTCGGCATTGAGAACGACAGATTGAGTTTTAGTATTTATTGAACAGCGTATTATTTGAGACAAAGGATGGAAAAAAATCTTACTTTAAATTTACTATTTTAAGGAGAAGTTTCATAAATTTATGAAAATGTCGCCAGCTGTGAAAAAGTACGGGAATGCGTTTTTGGATTTATACAGTACCGTAGAAAAACGGATGTTTGACTTGGATGAGAAGTACCTCAATTTGGACCTTCCCGATAAGGTTATTCTTCTTATCACAAGATTTTTCGTTTTTTTTTTCCTTGTTTTTGTTCTAAGGGATTTATAAACCCAATTCTGCATCAGTTGCTCTAAGTTGTCGCACCTGCATTTCTTGTCTTATTTTTCCCAAAATATTCATTTTAATTTCAAGCGGTTGCAGGGTGTAACGTGCTATCATTCAACAAACATCACTAAAGCTGATACGGAAGTTATAGACCGGTATTGTAAAGCCAATAAGGTTGAAGGATGGAATACTAGATTACTGAAAGAGAAAAAGGGAGACAAAACTGTTTACCGAATTCGATTTGCAAGCGTGGATTCTGGTAATATAGCTTTATTTTGTCAAAATCCTTTTTTAATTAGAGGCCAGTAATTGAGCTATGACGAATATAGTCTGTGATTTTTAAGCGGTAGTTTCTTTCGTTCTTTGAGATGCGACTTTTTCATCCTCAGCCTATTTAGTTTATTTCTCATTCTTAATTTCAACATTCCGACTTAACTGCTTCAGAGCCAAAGGAACTTTCAAGAGAGGAATTCGAAGGGAGTATAGTTGTCCTCGAACGCTGTGACTATGGACCTCTTCTGAGATTAACCAATGAATATCTGACTGCAGCGCTCGTAAATATTAAATGTTTTTTTTTATTTTTTTGGAGAAATATGTATTTTTTCCTGCTGATTTCAAGATTTTTTAGAATTATGTTGCGAATGATAACCAAAAAAATATGTTACTAAACTATATAAAGCACTTTGAAACTGGCCAAATTAATTACCATAAAGACGGATCTCGTTTTTGGATAAAAGATGTCCAGCCCATTGTAGAAACGTACATTGGATTTATAGAAAATTATCGTGATCCCGTTGGAGTAAGGTGTGTTTTTATTGGTTTACATGTAGTTCTAATCTATTCATTACAGCTATTACAGCCAGCAGGAATAAATATTTCGAACTGTAAAAAGTTATTTTAATGTTAATTTGTGTAAAAAAGTTTCAGATCTGAATTTGAAGGCTTTGTTGCTGCAGTGAACAAGGAAATGTCAAAAAAATTACAGTTATTAGTTGGACGAGCTGAAGATTTATTAAAACGTTTACCTTGGGAAAAGGAATATGAGAAGGATGTTTTTTTAAAACCAGACTTTACAGCTTTGGATATAATTGGATTTGGAGGAAGTGGTGTACCAGCAGGAATAAATATTCCGAACTGTAAAATTTTGGACTTCTGCTGTAAAAAAAATTTTTTATTAATAAGTATTAAAGAAGTATTTGTACAGATGAGTAATGTAAAGTCATGTGCAGATGTTTATTGTTCATTCTTTTTTAAAATCTACCTTTGTGAACGCTTTTGTTAACAGATGATGACATCAGACAAAATGAGGGATTCAAGAATGTGTCACTCAGTAATGTCATAGCTGCATTACCGAAGCAGAAAATAAATTTCTTAGATCCGGAAGATGAGTTAAGTAATTTTTCTGATATTATATTTTAGTTTTATTGAAAAACTTTGTGTGCTGTATTAATAGCTTTGTTTTAGGAACTCTTCAAGAAGTACCATAAAGAATCCTTCGAAGTGCAAGTTGGACTTCATGAATTATTAGGACACGGAAGTGGAAAACTTCTACAGCGAAATAATGATGGGACATTCAATTTCAATAAGGATTTGAAAGATATGATAACTGGAGAGCAGGTAACTTATTAGCATTGGAGAGCAGTTGGTGAAACCGGAGGTTTTACAACTTTTTTTAACCAAATATTTTTCTTCAAATCTCTAGTGTTTTTAAATAGGTTTCAAGCTGGTATGAACCGGGCGAATCATGGAGTACAAAGTTTGGAGCTTTATCAGGTGCTTATGAGGAATGTCGAGCAGAAGCTGTAGGGTATTTCTTGTGCACCTACCCTGACATTCTCGAGTATGTAATTGTAAAAAACGGTCAATTTTTGGTTTAGAAGATTTTCTTCGACCAATTCTATTTTTCTGTGATGGTAATTTAAGTTTGGAAATTTTTAGGATTTTTGGCTATGAAGGGGAGTTAGCAGACACGGTCAAGTACGTGAACTGGATGTCTGAAATTAGAGCGGGGCTTGTGGCATTGGAATTTTATTCTCCCGATGTTAAGAAGTGGGGGCAGGTACGTTTTTAGGCTGGGTTCCCTAAGATTAGCTTTCTCTGGCGGAAAGTAGACGGGTATTTCTTTAGTGTTGGTTACTCTTTTTGTATTTGGACGTGAAGACATAAGAATTGCATCACTTTCAATTTTTTTAGTTCTTTACGTGTTCATTCCTAACTTCACAGAAGTTTTTGAGGGCGTTGGTAATTGTATATTTACTGTAGTTCTTTATTCCAGGCTCACTGTTTTGCAAGATTCACTCTCCTTCGGGTTTGCTTAGAAGCAGGTGAAGGATTCGTCAGTATTACAGAAACTGTTGGTGAAGACGGAAAGCCAGATTTGCTTTTTAAGCTTGACAAATCTAAAATAGATTCTGTTGGGAAACCAGCTGTTGGGGCTTTCTTAAGGAAATTGCAGGTTAGTGGTTCACTGCTATTGTTTCATTATCTGTAGGAAGGATCGGTTTTTTTGGAAATTTTGTATTATTTAGCCTTATCTTCCTTGCAGGCGTACAAATCAACGGGCGATTATGTGAAAGGTTCAGAATTTTTTAACTCTTCAGGCGCAGTTACTGATGAACATCTGAAATGGAGAAAAATTTTAATAGAGCGTCGTCAGCCGCGACGTCTACTTGTTCAGTGTAATACTCAGTTAAGAGAAGACGGTAAGTTTATAACTATATGGGGTTGCCGTTTGGTTGCAGTACTCATCAAAGAATATTTCTTCACTATTTTAATTGTTGTGGTGCTTAGATCTTTATGGAAGAATCTGTTGGTTTAGCGTAGAAACTGCAACAGAAGGATTTTCATTTTTTGCTAAAACCATTTAGTAAGTTTTGTTCTTTGAAGTTGCTGCATTCTTTGGTCCACTGAACTTTTAGCCATTTGCATTCGCGGTTGTATTCCTCACACTGTTAACTTGTGACTTCTTAACTTCAAAAGTCGTTGAGGTTCCGTGCAAATAATCTTTAGAAAAAAACACTTCCTCTATTGTTAGGAAAGGTTGTCAGCTGTTTGACCTATTTTTTAAACTTCTGTAAGCCATTTTCGCAGCCTTTATAAAAGGAACATTTTTCTTAGTCTTTAATGAAGTAGTGTTTAGCTTAGGAAGCAAGGGAAGAGATCTGTAAATTACAACTTCAGTAGAAAAGTGGTGGATTTTCCAATAGGATTCTAATATTTTAACGGTTTCTGCGATGTTTTAGGTGGTTGAAATGGTTGTTGAACGAAATGATGGTAATAGAAGTTTAGAATTCAAGGCATTTTTGTAGTAAGTGCCGGAGATAGTGCAAACTTCTGTGAAGAGAGTTGACTATATGTTTGGATTATTTACAAATTTTTATTTTTTCTAGCCAATCTTGGAGTTTTTTGCGAGTAACTTTGACTTGTCTAATGTTTATTTTACACCATTGTGGCGCTAAGTTTTTTTTAGGTGGAGTTGACTTGAAAGTTTATCCGGAATCGTTTGAGGGCATTATACAGTCGTACTGTGAAAGATATGCTCCTGAAGCTGTGCAGAGTTTGCAGGATATCTGGACTCGCGACAGGCATATGTTTGACATTTAGCTGGAGATACATCTTTTCTCGATGTTTGTCGGGCTTTGTTCTTGTTATTTTTTGGTTTTTTGCCGCTGTTATTTTTATTGACATCATTATTATGGTTGTTTTTTTATTATCATTATTGTTGTTGCTATTACTATTATTGTATTGTCTTCCATTTTGTTGTTATTCCCGTCTTGGTTACTGGGGAGTTCAATGCGGTTTGAAGAGTCCGTTAAGATGCGCGACTTTTCTAGTACTTTATCGTTTGGTATCTTCAGGTTTATTTCTTTAAGTAATGATAAGTGTGCAACAAAACTGTTAGTTAAATAAGGAATATTTTGTTTTTCAAGATTTTTTTGTTCTTGTTTATAGGAATCAGAGGTTAGCAGCTGCCCTTAGTATGTATGGAAATGTTAATATATTTAGGTAGTTACCCATAATATTTAGTGGGGTTTTTCATTTTGAGAACAGTGCTTTTTTGTGTTATAGAAGCCTTTTATTTTTTCGTTATTGATATGAAAGAGTCTCCAAAAGAGAAATGCTATTGTTTGTTGTTTTATGTTGCATTTGGGCGACTGTATTTGAGTGATCGTTTTATGCGGTGTAGGATTTGCTGTGGAATTAAAGGTTTTTTTAATGTGTGTGTTTTCAGTAAAATGGGTTCTCATTTTTGTTGCTATTGGCTGAGTGGGTTCAGTGACTGTTGTAGTGTTCGTGATGGTTGCAGGGCAAATGGTGTAAAAAAATCGTTATTGTTTTGCGGGGTTTGGCGGCAGTAGGACTGTAGGATTCTTTGGTTCTGACAGCTGTAAAGAAGACTGCGATGGAAGGTTTTGTGGGTTTTCGTCTCTCTTGGGTGCGGTTGGTTTCATAGTTAGTGACGAGTGTTTGACTATTGTCAAAGGTGGAAGGGAATAGGGACTGTGGGGTGGCGGGTGATGAATTTGGAATGACTTGTTGAGGAGCTTTATTAGTGAAGTTTTTCTGTTTAGGTTTTTAACTTTGTGCTAGTTTCGTTTACATGTGATTTGGAACGTTTAAGGTAGGTGGTAATTTATGCTTTCGTTTAATTTCAATCGCGTCTTTCAACTTTTCATAACTTTCAATTGCATACTGTGTTGGGTTAAGGTATAATCTCACTGGGTGGCTGCAAAGAGAATACCAAATTTTCTTTAAGCTGTGGTGGTAGGGGCTTTAATCGTCTGGTATTTTTTTTTTTTTT